TACTACTACTACTACTACTACTACTACTACTACTACTACTACTACTACTACTACTACTACTACTACTACTACTACTACTACTACTACTACTACTAGTATGATCTGCTGTGGTTGTTAATGATACAAATGCTAGTACTAGAAGTACTAGCAGTAGTACGGCTACAACTGCTAGCACTACTACTAGTAGGAGTAAAAGAAGAATGTTGCTATTACTAGAAATGCAGATGTACTACTTTTAAAAAAAATCAAATGCACAAACTTACACTTCAGTTCTGAAACTTATCAGCCAGACTTCCTGCTGATTCCTACATACTAGTACACACCTGACCAGTGCCTTCTGGCATCCAAAATCACTGTGGTGCCACCCCCTCCAAAGGGGAAAAGCCCCCTCCCTGGCCTCTTTCAAAGAAGACAAAGACCAAGCCAATTGATCTGTATCAATATCCTTATTCCTCCCTAGCCTCCCTGCCCATGTGATGGCTATTTGCCTTAGCTGGTGGCTGTATCCTTCCCAGTTTGTCTTGTTGGAGTATATTTGGGCCTTGAAGTTGTTGTTTCCAATATCTGTACTAACCAACAACAACAACCTCAGCCCCCAGTATTCAACCAAGACCTTTCCTTACAAGAAAATTGCCTGGAGTATACTATGCTACATTCTCAGTTTACTTCCTGCAGATTCACCGCCAGCTTTAGCTTCATGTGCCAGCTGTTCCAGTATTTATGGACTGACAGAGGATTCCAGTCAGCATTTTGTTGTTGTTTCCCATATTTGTGTTATACAGAAACAAAAACATCAATACAACAAGCTCCAATTAGAATAATCAGCATCCTCCCCCATACCCCTGTTCTTATGGACTGAAAGAGGATTCCAGCCACAATTTTGTTGTTTCTGACATTTGTGCCAGATAGCAACAACAACAACAACACACCCAGCCCCCAGTATTCAACCAAGACCTTCCCTTTCAAGAATGATGTCTGCAGTATATCCTACATACTCAGTTTAAAAGAAGATTACTCAGCCTCTCTGTGGACTAGTTCCAGATTTACAGATTGGAAGATAATTTGGGTCAAGATGTTGTTCTTTCTGAGATCTATGTTGAATAGCAATTACAACAACTGCAACTATCAACTATCAACAATTTAACCCCTCCACAAGATATGGGCCCAAAAATACCAATACGTCAGGGTGTTTGTTTTCTTTTTTCTTTTCACTTTTATTTATTTTCTTTTCTATGACTACTCCACCAATGCTCTTGTCCTCATTGGCTTGGCAGTGTCCTTGGCACCTGTGTGTTTCCTTGTTCATTGCAGAGAAAATGGCCTTTTTGGCTTGGCAGTGCCCTTTGAAATGATTTTGACATGGTGGCTCCCATCCATCCAAACTTTGAGCCAACTCTTTTTATGTCCTCAGAATCCAGCCCCAAGCCTTAATTGGCTTGTCAGTATGCATAGAACCTGGTTGGTCCTCCACAACCTCTCTTTAGAGGGAAGCCCTGCCCAATGGAGCAGCTAGAAACATTCTTCTCCCTAGTCAGGATAAGTTCTGGTTCTGGTCATACAGTGCTTCTTCTAGTTCACAAGGTCAAATACAATATTATGATTTTTTACTACTAATGTAGCTGCAGAAAGAATACTGTTAATAAATAACAAATGTGCTCTGGGATAAAGATAACTAATAGCACCAGACAGTGTAGCAAGATAATGGGGCAAACATTCTTTTTACAAGTAGTACCAACTAGTACCTGTGACAAGGCTCCTCTTTGCAAAAAAATATTCTTGGTGCTATTGGTGGTAAGTCAGAACCATTACTTCTGGGAAAGAACCAGAATGATTCTCACTGCTCCAAGGCTCAAATGCTTTCCTCTTTGCTACAGTACTAGTAGAGTAACAAGACTACAGAAATCACAACAAAAAAGTGCAGGATGCTGGGACTGGTGAGACTACAGCTGAAAGCAGCAGGATTATATATTTTTACTTTGCCTGAGTACTTGTAAAACAAATAGCTTTTAAAACTTATTACAACAACGTTCTTTGAAGAAGCCACCAGCAAGTGCATTGATGCACAAATGTCATGAATGAAGGAAAAAGTGAATTTCTTTGTCTTAAAATGATTCTTCATTCTTATGTCGTACCACCCACTACTGTGGAACACATTGGGTACAGCAGTCAGGTATCTGACAAAAAACACCGAACATTTCTGTTCCTTCTATTTCAATAGGGCAATCTACCACAAATACATTTAAGGATTCCTGGCGAAGATCACAGATTGAATCTGCCACTCGGTCCTCGAATCTATTTGCCTCGAGCCTCATGGTCTCTAAACGAGGCACAGAACAGAGGTAGGAAGGCAATCACATAAAAGTATTCGAAGAAGGAGGTGAGAAGTACACGAGGCTAATCTTTTCATAAGTTCATCAAGCGTCAACCGTAAAACAGGACCGTAGCCAAATCATTATGCCTATATGCGAATGTCAGTAACGTACTCAATGAAATCAGATTACCGATTGGAACAGGAATACCTCCCTGAAGAAGGTTGTCATTTAGTCGCAGTTCTTCCAGTGCTAAAAGATTACCAATAGTTTCTGGAATTGAACCATCGAGAAAATTGCCCCCCAAATCAAGATACGCTGGGAGACAAGAGAGAAAGAAATTGCAACAATCGAACAAGTAATGAATGAGCACAAAAAAGGGTTGATTCTGCTGTTTTTGTCACTTCATTTGTTCGTGCTTACCAAGAGTTCCAAGGCTTCCAAGTTCTGATGGAATTGTACTGCGGAGCTGATTGCCGCTGAAGTCAATTGATTTCAGACTTGGGAGTCTTCCAAATGATGTGTCGATATTTCCCGAAATATCTGTTCCGGAAATAGTTATCTCTTCTAAGCTGCTCAGGTAGAAACCAAATTCTGCGGGAATAAGACCACTAAGATCTGCAACTCCACTAATCGAAAGATACTTCAGACTACCAAGGAAGCCAATGGATGAAGGAATGGTTCCAGAAAATAGGTTGGGACCAAGCGTGAGCTTCGTAAGTGCATTTAGGTTAGAGACTTCAGCGGGGATAACTCCAGTGAACTTGTTGTCTGCAATGTCGAGTTCTCTCAATCGTCGAAGATTAAATAGTTCCAATGGAAGCTCGGATGCGAATCCATTCGACCTTAGATTAAGATAACCCAAATTACCTGCTCTTCCGATATTTCTCGTGAGCCGACCGCTCATTGAATTATTCTCTACATTTAATGAATTTAATGACACTGCGTCGCCCACAGTAGGTGGGATGACACCTGTTATCGCGTTGAAACTCACATCGACAGTTCCAAGATCTTTGATGGTAAATAGGGGAACTGGAATGGGCCCACTGATTTTATTCTGAGCAACCATGAGGAATTGTAACCTAGCCAACAAACTCAATTCGGATGGGAGCTGCGAAAGTGACAGGGCGATAAAGTATGAGCAGACAAATCAGAGCAATCACTTGAACACAGCTATTGTAACTGAGTACAACTTACCACTCCAATGAGGTTGTTGTCGTCAAGAACCAACTGAGTCACATAATCTGGCTGACCTTGGTCACATTTCACTCCAAACCAAGTACAGACGCTTTTGTATGAAAGCCAATTGCGGCTTTTCTTCCATTGTGTACCGCCGAGGGACGCAAACACGGCCGCGAGAGCGAATTTTTCGGCTCTTTGATCCGTGCTCAGTTCTGTGTCGTCACCAGATGATATCCAGACAAGCGCTTGGTTTCTTGGGCTACAGGAGCTGATATCATCGTCGTACTCTCGAAAATAAGCAGGAATAAATGCTTCGAGGTTGTAAAAATATCGTTCTCTGATATCTGACTCGATTATGGAAATCTCTCCCAAGCAATTGCACTGGTCGATCGGATTCGGGTTGGAATCATTGACATCGAAGTTACAGTCGCCCTGAATTGGATCAAAACGTGTAGAGACAGCTACTGATGGGGCTGGTGTGGGCGGATTAGTGTAGATCGGTGATTCGAGGCTTGAAACTTTATCTCCGTCTCTTGTTGTAAGCCAATACCCTACTCCTGCACTTCCACCAAGAAGTCCAATAAAAACTAAGCATACAATCCAGTACCAACAGGAGCTGGGGGACGGTTGTGTTTCTTCAGGCATTTTGGTTGGCCGATACTGATATTCAACGTCACCGTCTGAAATCGATTTGTCATAGACATGAGTTGGTACATTCTCACCGGCGTTCAATTGTCGACCATCGACTGATTCATCCTCTACAATTTCTTCCTCGTATTCTGATTCATCATCGTCGATAACTATTTCTTCATAAAATGAAGTCGTACTTTTTTCCGGGCCGCCCAGCGGTTGACTTGGGTCAAACTTCACGTCGTCTATCACCTCTTCAGTGAATTCGGTAGTACGAGATTCACGGCCTGATTCGTCTTCTGGAATAGGACTCGGAGTGCTGTTCTCTTCATTAAGGACAGATTGTTGGATAGCATGCGGAACTTTTGCTGCCATCATTCTCTGAATCACTACTCCCTTTGGTAGGCCTATGCGTAGTAGTTGCCGATACTCGGCTGCGATTGCTTCCTCCCCCCTCGTAAGAGTCATGCTGTTATCGAAATTATTCGCGAAAAACTATTTGTTGCTTTCTTCTACAGAAACACCGTCGGGTTGAGCGTAATTTTTTGCAGGAACTCAATGCGCCGCTTTATTCGGTTGATCTCTATTAGAAGTACTTCTTATTCCCTCTTACTGTCGTCGCTATTGGACGGGTATTTGGGTGCTGTTTGTGTACTGCAGTGTGGCTCAACTAACTGTGGAAGGGCGTCAATAAATCTAGGGACCGTTTAGCTCTTTGATTTCACACTCCGATTTTTGGTATTTGGATGCTGTTTGTGTACTGCAGTGTGGCTCAACTAACTGTGGAAGGGCGTCAATAAATCTAGGGACCGTTTAGCTCTTTGATTTCACACTCGGATTTTTCGTATGCACGACTTGTCGACAAAAATGGGTTCGGAAGCGACTGCAAATCGTGCCTAGAAATTGATCATGTCATACCATCTACGGCTACCTATCATGGATACGGTGATGATGTAGCATATGGCATTTTTGCTTTCGAGTAAAACTAGTACGTACGTACAGTACGGTACGTACTTCGTACGAAGTATCGTTGAAAAACAAAATATTTTCGGACACTGCAAACGGCAATCAACTTGCTTCATCTGTTCATGATACTACTTCTAAAAAACCTACTTGCTGGCTCATGACCAACAAAAGGTGATGACATTTTGTCACAAAGCTGATGGACCCATTCAAGTGAAACACTTCAGCTGAGACTTACTACCATCAGGTCTGTTAAGTACTACAGCACGTTGTTCTTTAAGAAGAATTCCCTCATTCACTTGAAGACTCTTCCAATCACCACCTTACCATAATTTAAATTTGATAGTTGTAGGGCCACAGCAGGGAAAGAGAAGTTTAGGGGTCTCAACATCTGCAGAGAAGAGAATCTGACTGATTGCAATGGATCGTGACAAAGTCCAATGCAAGTGTCAGCAATGCGTTGGTCTTAGTTGGAGAAAAAAGCACATGTAGCACTAATTTTACACTTAATGGGATAAAACATAGTGGCTAAATTGGTACTATTACTATGTGGTTCTTTTTGCCATAAATGTAGATGCACACTTCCAAAACAATTTATTGAATAATTTTACAGTTACGTGTATCATGTGTATAATCAGAGCATGTCGTCCAAGATCGATGGTACCAAAACACCTTCAATCTTATGAATCAATCCATTACTAGCAGGGATATTAACAGTGCGTATGATAGCTCCATTAACAGTCCCAATGCCCTCACTAATATCAAACGAAATTGATTCTCCCATCGCTGTTTCGAGAGTCAGACCATCAGATATGTCATCTGCTGAATAGATACCTGGGACCACATGATAAGTTAAGATACCATACAGAAGGCTAGGGTCTACCCCGATCACTTCAGTGGGATCTAAGCCAAGCGAATTTAGTAGCGAAACAACACCTGCATTGGTAGGTGCAAAAAGAGTGAAGGGGCCATCCGAAGAGAGTGGATCAATCAATCCTGCTTCAATAATAAGTGAAACCAAAAAGGAAAGCTCGGGATCTTCAGACGCAACACCAATGATCGTTTCAGATGATTCCTCTGTAATAGAACCAGTGGCTCCCGTTGGATCAAAACATTCAGTACAGCAGCTGGGAATACTGCAAATTATTCCATAGACATCGGACTCGCCCACGAGAGTGGGACAATCAACAACAAATTCGTCGAGCTCAGCTTCTCGCAGAGCACACACTCCATTTGGTGCTCTGCCATCCATGGCATTGCCATTAAGTGTAAGAGTTCCTATGACGGATGAAAAATAGAGTTAGACATCGGATTGGGTTATTTTTTCTACKAAGTTATGCTCATTGCATTTCACACTGGAAGACATGTTCACATGACTTACTCATCTCAAGGAGCTCTTCAAATTCTTCGGGTATGCTGCCAACGAGCTTATTTCTGTCGAGTTTGAGTTCTTCCAGAGAAGATAGCATCGCAATTTCGGATGGCACTGTACCGGAGAAACTATTTCCATTTAAGTGAAGGATCTCTATAAATTTACGTTCGGAGAGAAAAGGCGTTAGAAAGTAGAAAAAAAGCAGATTTAGAAAAGACGAATGTGATAAAACCTTACCGAGATCCGCCAGAAGATCGATGCTCGAAGGAATGACCCCTCTCAGATCATTGTCACTCAATCGCAATTTTTTCAACTTCTTCAACATTGAAAATTGAGCTGGGATATTTCCGTCAATGTTGGTTCCAGATATACCAAGTTCGACTAGGTTAGTCAAAGAGAGACCATAGGCAGCAGGCAATCTACCACCCAGATTTGCAATTCCCTCGATTGACAATTTCTCCAACTTAGTGAGGACACTCAAACTTGTTGGTACATCGCCGGAGAAAGAGTTGGGACCGAGAGAGAGCGAGGTTAACGCAGATAGATCTGTAATTTCTTCCGGTATCATACCATCAAAGCCGTTACCTCCAATGGACAACTCAGCTAGAGGCAAACGGAACAAAACCGATGGTAGGGTCCCAGAGAAAGCGTTGAAATCAATATTTAGAACCTTCAAACTGGACAACTTTCCAACATCACTTGAAACAGTCCCATCCAGATTGTTTGATCCGATATTCAGGTAAGTAAGTGCGCTATTTGTCGACGAGATTGTAGGAAATGCACCATACAGTTCATTGTCGCTAAAGTTAATGTGATTCAGGGTATCGCTTGCAAAGTACGAATATGGAATAAATCCCTCTAAGCTGTTACCCACCACGGAATAACCTTCAATAGCATTAAGCAAAGTAGGTGCATTGGAAAGCTGATGACACGTATAGGAAAAATCGAAGGTGAGTTGCCCAATATCAAAGTTTGCAATTTCATGTTTCACTAACGGGAATCTTCGACAGAATTTTACTCACAAATCCTATCAAATTGTTGAAATCAAGGCTCAAGAATTGAACAAACGAATCGCTGTTACATTCAACGCCTTCCCATCCACAAACGCTCCTACCAGAGAGCCAGTTTTTCGAGTGAAACCACCCAATTCCTCCCTGTGCATAGTAAACAGTTGCCAAAACGTATCGTTGCAAGCGATGTAAATCATCAATCTCTCCACCGTTATTGATGCCCGACGACAACCACAAAAGCGCTTGGTTCTCTGGTGAACAAGAGTCAATTGCCTCGTTCCACTCTGGATAAACAGACGGAATGAAGTTTTTAACCAGCTTATTCCATCGATTCCGGACATCATCTGCAATAATATCGACGGATTCTTCGCAAATGCATTGATCGATGATATTTGGTTGCAGCGATCCCTCAAAATTACAATTGTTTCGAAAGGGATCAAATTCAGTTGTTCTCGCGGCATCGACGCTACCGCTACTTGAAGCTTCTGGATCGAGTGGTACAGCGACTGCTGGTGTAGGTGCCATAGAAGGTTTCATTCCAAATTTTTGCCGTTCGTCATTGAGAACGACAAAGAAAACAACGAGAACGATAGCTGCTATAATTAAGCAGAAGGATAGCAATGGGATAAACCAGCTCATGCTACTTCGTTTTCCTGGTTTTCCAATACCTAAAATGCGTTTCTGCTCTTCTATGTCGTAAATCTGTGTTCCCGAACGCAATTGTGCTTGGCTAGCAGTATCAATGGGGGAAGGGGGCACCTGATACTTTTCGTCTTCTGCCAAGACAACATCTCCCTGTGCCTTATCCTCGATTGCAGCCGAATCACTAACAAGTTGCTGTCTCTGTTCGGCGAAAAAGTCGTTGGCATCCTCATCCACCAAGACCTCCTCCTCAAAGATTTCATTTCCATCGTCGTCTACGAGAATTTCTTCCTCGATATAATCCTCTCCCCCGTACGTCGATCTGCTCATCTGAGTCCCATTTGCAGAGCTGACATTGTCGTCTTGGGCACTACTAATTGGAGCTGCATCGGACGCACTGCCGCCATATTTGGATTCATCGATGTACGATGTCTGATCGTACCCGTCGTTGGCGGATTTGCTCTCTGTCTCGTATGTGAAGTCGCGAGCATTTCCCGACACGGAATCGGGAGGATCGGATCGAGTGCTTCGCACCATTTCGACGCTCGCCTTTTCGGTCGTGGCCAATGGTACCGTCTCAGAGAATTCATTGCTGTCCTCTCCTTGTTCGATGAGCAAGCTGTTGCGTCTGGATTCCGCTCGTTTCAGGAACCCATCTCTTCCCATTTCTGTGACACCTTCATCTTCTTTCTGCCCTATTTCCTGGTATTTTTGCATCCACTCCGGAGTCGACATGGTGGATGACTGCTATTCGGTTTTGATACAATGTGATGCGACGCGATATGATCTGCCGTTTCAGTGTGGTTCAGTTGGATACCAATATGTAGAATGATTCGCCCTGAGCTGCTCTATTGCTGCAGTTCGGTCGAAAAATATAAACTTCAAAGCGGTGCTATTTGTTCGTCTAACGGCTGTCATAAACGGATAGTAGTGTGGTACTCGATTAGAATACATGCTCCTTGATGGTGAATGTCGTCGACCTTTCAGCAGATCGTACCGTTTCAATCCAAACAGGACTCAAAACGACGACTCCTCATAAATCTTCCCCAAAATCTCAATTATTCATCGGTTAAATTCCATCCGTGTGACACAATCTTGTCGGGTGACCAAAAAGAAATTAATTTGGTGGATTTTGATTCGTCTTCTATATGATTTCGGCAAAGTACCCAACATTTAAGAGGATTTGTGTCGAGAAGGAATAAACGATTCGGTAAAAAGGGCTGTTCTCAAAAGGCCGAGAGTGCAATCTTGTGAAAGCTAAAAATTGAGCCCGGCCGTGAACAAAATTCGGCAACCATGTTTGGGATCAACAAACCATCTCAGAAAGGGTTCTCGAGTTGTTTGGACTCATACGTGCCGTTAGGAGTACCTACGTACGTACACCTCAGTAGTTCACGGTACGATATTTTTGGTAGGCCTAACACAGCAGTAGACTACTTCTACGTAACAAGCGTCGTTGTGTAGTACCTGCGGCTACGTACGGGCTCTTTGATGCGAGACAGGTGAAGAAGACACCTTTCGTACGAGTACGAGTACTACTCGTACAGTAGAGTGATTGACACGATGTGCAACCGAATTAGTTCGCGGGGTGCGAGAGGAGCGCGGGAGGCGGGTCATCATCATTGGCTTAAGACGGTAAAAACGAGGATCACTCCAATGAACGCCAAATTTATTGGAATTTGGAAGAAATTTATCCACCGTCCTCTTTGATTTGGTTCTTGCCTTCTCGAGAGACATCTTCTCACCAGCATCAGTACGGAAAATACATCTATACTACAACAGTGACACAGGACTAAGCAGATTCGACATTATCGCCACCACATCCATACCGTGTTAACGATATAAGCGAATCCATACAGTGAAACACATCTCAAAGAAAAGTAGTTTGTCCTATTCTCGTTGTACGAAGGTTTGTCAGCTCATATTTGATTCCAAAGATTTGAGGACCGAAAGTGCTCATCATGGATACCAACAACGATGGGGTGCCTTTCCACGATAGCATCCATCCTCCGGATCTTATTCATCTAAACATGGACACAAAGGCCAGTGATTCTTCTCCTGTCCCTTCGCCCGACTCTCCCCTTTCGACACCTCCGGATTCCCCCCGCCGTCCATCTTCTGCCTTTAGAAATGGGAATTCTCTGGATACCGCTGACAGCAACGAAGAGGAGGAAGAGAAAAAAGAAGAGGACGACGGAAACCAAGGAACCGAGAAAGAATATCTTGTTGCGGAAGATGTGCCCCTAGACGAACAGGAGAACAACGTTGGAATGAGTAGTAACAAGAACACTGTTAGCACCAACTCCGAAACTGGAAACATCGAACTTCCGAGCGACGAACCCGCGAAAATTGCAGCGAGCACTGTCATGGATGAACCCGAAATCAAGGAAGAAGAGAAAACAAAAATAGCAGATACGCCGACTTCGCAATCAGAGAAGAGCGACGGTACACCCTTTGACGAGGCATCCAAGAATTCCAAACAGAACGAGATGGAAGATACCAACGACAAGTCTGACCAAAAGAGCGAGGACGAGCAAGATGCGGAATCGGCCTCGGTCCCCGACGACGAAAAGAAGTCTAACGATATGTCTCCACCTAAGGTGGAAGCAACAAAAATAGAATCCATCAACGATACGACCTTTGAAGACACCAACAGCGAGGAGAGCGAAGAGCCCCCATCTCTATCGTCGCCAGCTCTATCGCTAGTCGAGAAAATGAAGAAACGTCTGTCGGATCAGGGGTTATCGGGTTTTTCTGAGTCTGAGGAAGACATGAAAGTTTCGAAAGAAGCAACATCGCCACCACGGATCGTGGTGAAGGGCGAAGATATCAACACGACCGTTGGCGACAAGAAAACACCCGAAGCTGCAAGTGACAACGATGATGTCGACGTTAGCGATGATGTTGATGTTGATGTTGATGCTGATGTTGATGTTGATGTTGATGTTGATGTTGATGCTGATGTTGATGTTGATGTTGATGTTGATGTTGATGCTGATGTTGATGTTGATGTTGATGCTGATGCTGATGCTGATGCTGATACAAATGCTCACAATGATTTCGATGCAGAAGAACCACAAGAACCACCATCTCTCTCTAATGTCCGTGATGGTGGTGCCGATGCCGATCCCAAACCCGGCATTGATTTCGACGCAGAAGACCTACAAGAACCACCATCTCTTTCTGATGTTCGTGATGGTGGCGCAGATGGTGACGACAATGTCGATAGTAACTTCGACGCAAAAGAATCACAGGAACCACCATCCCTTTCTGATGTTCGTGATGGCGATGTCAATAGTGATGGCGATGATGTTGGCGATGATGATGCCAACGACGACGCTGCTGCTGCTTTCCATGTAGAGGAGCCGCCATCACTTTCACGGGTCGAAGAGGCAATGAAGCGAACGTCACTGATGGTTAAAAAGCACAATAAAAGGCGTGGAAAGATATCGACGCCTCAAGTTGCGACTAAAACCGAGGCAATAAAGCCACTTGTTGTGTCAGAAGTTGGCGCAGGGACCACAGCTAACTCATCCAACACGAACGAATCCGAACGATTGGCTGCTTTGCAACGAGACATCAATTCATTGAAATCATCGCTCTCCAACATGAACACTCAACTACGTGTCAACAAGCCGGATAAAAAAACTGCGGAAGATGAGATTGGACCTGACGATGAAGAAGCCAGTCAATTGCAGCAATCTGCTGCACCCATCTCGCCGCCGAACGGAGAAGTCGACCCCAGAAAGAATACGAGCATTCATGTCAACAGAGATGTACCGTATGGTGGGAGGATCAATAGAACTTTGTTCTCCAACAGCCCGGACCCCGTCGATCCGTATGCAAGCGATGAAGGAGATGAAATTATGAAAACCACGAAGTCTATTCGATCCAAAATGGTTGAGGATACAAACATCACCGTCGAAACCACAGAATTGTCCTTCTCGCACGACAAGTCTAATCACACGCGCTCTGCGACCGAATATCGCAAAATGACTCCAAAGAAAGATTTGCAGGTTTCGGACAAAAGTCACGGGTGGCTGCAAGAAGAACTTCGGAGAAGAGCTGGCATGAAACGCGAAATCAATAATGCGATTGAAGCAAGAGGAAAACACAGCACGGACGGCAACGTGGTTATCGATGAACTTCCATCGATATCGTCACCTCCTGAGTTGCGAAACAGCCAATTTTCATTGGACGAAGAAGTGGCTGCTATCACAGCAAACGACGAAAGGAACCTGTCGATGGTCGATCAAGGGAAGATTCCTTTGGATGGACCAATACCCCGACAGCTCAAGTATGATGAACAAGGTTTTCAGCCGGTCTTCATGTACCAAGATCTCCAACACGAGATGATGAAGTTTGCGAGCGAAACCCGAGCAGCTTTACGCGAACAGTCTTTCACGGATATTGTACAAGACCCTTTGTCTAGCGCTGTGCCGGTTGCCTTCAGTAGCCCCATGTCTATCAACCAGTCGATGGAAACTGGGAAGCCAGACACAAATCCTGATTTTCAAATGAATGCTGTTACAGGTTCGACGAAAGGTAGCAAGAAAACGAACGGGCCAGTCAAAATAAATATAATCTTTTCTGACTTGGAGGCTGGCGAAGCACCAATAATGTTGAACACCATGGATTCCTTTGATGGTATCGCCACGGGTGACATATTTTTATCCCTGTTGAGTGATAATACTGGAAGAACAGAAAAATCTGCTGCCGCTACTTGGGCTAATCGAGTTCACGCAGCGATTTGGAGAGCAAGAAGAATGCGTACCGACTTGATGCAAGTGTCTGGCGATGCTCAACAACCTATTGTTATGGGTAGTTCTCAGACTGTAGCTTCTGTGCAGCGAGCTGCTCTTTTGCACTTGAAGCGCGATGAGATCAAAGAATCCATCAATCTAATCGAGGGCATAATATTTGCGTACTACTCCTACTTTGAAAGGTCTCTCAACCTCCAGGAGAAGAATATGTCCACGGATACAGGTATTGCTACAATAGACTTCAAACCATACATAGGCACAGCCTTGCATAATCTTGGTGTCCTCAACCTTTTGGACGGGAATTACGAAGAAGCTCTCTCATATTTTATTCGTGCCGTCGAAAACAGAAAAGGATACTTGGGTGAGGACCATCCACACTGTATTGTAAGTTTGAAAGGCCCGTATTACAGCGTTGTTTGATCTGCTTTGTAGAATTCCATTTTCTCACTTATCGTTTGCAGTCTTCTTTAGTACGTTTGGCGATATGCCGCTATGCACTTAACCAGTTCGCCGAGGCTCACGCTGGCCTAGAAGAAGCGCTTGTGTGTGCTAAAAGGAAACGTCAACGCAGTAAGGCAACACTAGAAGACCGTCTGCAAATGGCAGAGATTCTGAATAATCTTGGGTGTCTTGCATACATGAGTGGACAACCTACTACAGCCAGCTCTTATTATCGCGAATCAATGGACATCCAATTTGGAGCGTTGAGTGATAGTTTGTATCTCGGAAACGCCATGTCAGGGCAATCAATCTCTCTGAACATATCCATAGCAAGAGCAAATATCGGATTTATCAAGTTGGTCACGAAAGACCTACCGATAGCAATCACTGCGCTGGAAAATGCGCTCATGGAGCAGCAAATTTTGCTCAAAGGTACTAACGACACTTTAATTGCAACCATGGACCACTTGGCTTTATCGAATCTTTTGAACGGAGCTCAAGACAAATCTGCATTGGTAAGCATTTTCGTTGGACGCATCGCAAGAGTAGTGACTGTGGTCGTCAGGTCCGTCTTAACTAACAGGTTTCTTCATCTATGATCTTTTTATTTTCCCCATCAGATGTACAATCGAATCTTGACACTGCAACAGAGAGAATATGGAGCCCATGACAGGCGTTGCTTTGTTACTGTTGACAAAATCAACATGGTTCAAGGGAAAGGGATTCAGTACGAAGGTGCCATTGAGGAGTTACGAAAGACTTTTAGTTTGCCCTCTCCTTCTGGTGGACCTGCTTCAATTTCGGCATCATCTCTCACAGATACAAATAAGGGTCAGTTGACTCCCCCAAGAAAACAAAAGAACATTCAAGTCCACAAAAGTAGCGGTAAAAAGAACAAGAAGTTTAAAGTTCTGAAAGCCTTGGGTTCTGTGATGAAGAAGAATCCATAGAAGAATGACTTCACCAAAGTTATGGTTGAATATGATTAGTATATGTTGCAGTAAGAACTAAAATTTATTTTTCTGTTAAATTGTCTTCAAGATCATTTTCTGTACTGGTAATAGTGCGTCTCTGCAATAACTTTTTGTCCATCACGAAGTGCGAGAAAAAAAGACGAACTCATATTCCACATGTGGTCCAAATTTCCAAAAAGTCACCCCAGGATTTTTTAAATTCTTATATTTACTGCATAATACTAGTAAAACTATACAAACTTTAAGCAGTTACAGCTTTATCAAAATACTACTATTTTAATTTTTGAGTAGTCAGTCTACCCCAGTCTTTAATGCTGATCCAGAATATACCATTTTGTCAGGTATTAAATTGATATTTGTGGTACTATTTTACTATTAAAAAATGAACATAGTTTTCAATAGTACTACTACTACTAGCACCAGTACTAGCACTAGTACTAGGTTGGATAGTTTTACTAGGATTACTATGCAGTAAAAATGAGAATTAAAAAAATCCTGGGGCGACTTAGTGGAAATTTGGACCACACTTGGAATATGAAATTTTGATCTGATGTGCTCCCTTCTAAATTGGGCGATTCCCATAAACATAGATTTATGTAAAATTGAATTAGACTTCAGTTGTGCACACATAGAAGTATGTGTTTTCGCTGACACAATACATAGATTTTTGGTTCAGGCAGGCTCACGCTAACCAAAAAGTATGCACCCACATGCTTTTTTTTGGAATCCTCGATTCACAGCGAGAATGCAGTTATTTTCTGTTGCTGTTACTAATTTCAAGCAAAGCAAATTCCTTGTTGTTATTCCAAAGAATTATGCACATGTAGCGAGACATATTCTATGATGCACAAATCTATGTAGTCACATTTTTATTACCATTAAGTCATAGATGCAAAGTATGTCTTCATAGATTCTGTGTTTACGGGAATCACCCATTATGACCCCTGCTGAAGCACTGGTTCTGTGAAACAAATTCTATCTGCTTGCTGTCGTTCTTCCGACTGTGAGGCTAGTACTACTAGTACAAGTGCCCTATCGAGTGCTTTGGTGTGAACATGGGTGAATTCCAAATGTGTAGGGGAATATAGAGGTTCAAAGAGAAACAGTGGGCCATCATAGATTTGTAGGGTTGCATCTGTTGGGAAGGCCAGTTCTAACAATGCTCTTATCTCTCGCTGAATGGTTCCATTGTAGAAGTGAAGTTCTAATCAATCACATTGTGCCGGTGCAAGGTTCCTGCAGGTGGAGGTTACAAGGAAGTCTCTGATGTGAGGGGACTGAGTGTCCTTTTGCCAGGGCTTTGCCTTGTTTTTTTGTTTGGAAGTTGCCATGGTGCTGGTGGTTGTGGGAGTTTGCTGTATATAGGAACAGTTTGCGTCTTGACAGTGTGGTGGGTGTTGCAACTTTGAATTTTGAATTTTTATCTGAAGGGAATTGTGCCATAGAGTGCTACGTGATTTAGTACAGGGTTCTCTTCATACTACTACTACTACTACTCTGGGGATGGAAAGCAGCTGTTCTTCGATAGTACTTCTTCTTGCTCTACACTGAAGAAGGAGGAAAGGCGATGGCAGTAAATCAATCTAATCTGTAGTTGGGTATGGTGCTGATGATGGTTGATGAACTGAGGTAAGTCTCTTTGTTGTTCATATCCTGTGAAATGCTGATAGGCTCCTTAGTGTACGATAATATGTGGTTTACAATAAAGAGTGAGGTTATTCACTATCTATTCGTGATTTGGTGATTAATGTAACTCACAACCAAACACGATAATCTCATTTTGTACGTTCGTACGTACGTTCCGTACGAGTACTGTACCAGTTGTCAACACTGTCGCGCGTGATATTTCAAGTTTTTGACGAATAGCGCGCAAAGGTGCCGACGTGAATGTGCAGGTTCAACGTGTCATGCGTGTTTTTAATTCAAGTTATTCGATGTTCCGTCAATCAAACAAGCAAAGCAAAAACACCATCCCCCAAATAGCACCAGATGGAGCAAACGAAGCAAGGAAAACGCTGCCGAACATCAGCGAAGCATCGTTTTGCGACTAGCTTGGATCAAAAGTGGTTCAAGATAACAACTAGTGCCATGAACATCTTTTCTATCCTCGTTGTTTTCATGTGCGTCGCACATCAAAGTGCGGCATTTTCGACTGGCGGGATTCCGACAACGGGTAGCACTCGAGTTCGGCAAAGCAATCTCTGTTCTTCGATCGGTGGCGCGAACGCGGGCGAGGAGTGGAATGGCGAAGTTGTGTCCTCGGGAACGATACGGGGATGTATTGTGACTCAGGTTGGAGAGTCAGTGACCGAATGGGTAATCCAGATTGATGGCGTCGAGGCCGATCTCGGACGTTTCAGCGAGGCAATTTACAAGCAAATCACAAACGACGCGAAGCGACAAAGCTTCCAGGGATTTCGAGCCGGAACCATTCCCCCACAATTGTTAAAAACTTACCGTGCGTACGCTATGGACGAATGCGCAAGGGAAACCGTGCTAGAAGCGATGCAACAAAACAACATTCGACCCTTCACCAATGCCAGAGAAGAGATTCGTATAGAGGAAGTCAGTATCCCCCCTCCCAAGCAAAAGGGCAAAAAGAAGAAGAAAAAGAAGAAATCGAAGAAGGCATTCGGTGGTGTTGAGAGCAGCGAACCAACCGCAGCCGTTGCGGAAGAGCCGCCAGCAGAACCAGAATGGAAACTGTTTGAATCTATGGACTTGGCAATCAGCGCTGGATGGGCCCCAGGCCAAAGTTTCAGCTTTATTGCAACAAATGTGAAAGGACAGAAAGTAGTTCCAGATGATAAAGCCGAACAGGCTTTTCCACTTGGTGCAAGGCGCTAGGGAAGGTATTGCTCGTCTTCTCTGCTCACAAGAGGGTCTTTGCCCGGGGCAATTGCTCCTGAAAAATCAAAACCACTTGGCAGGGCTGTATCACTTTCATGCACGAGATCGACGATGCGCAAGATAGCTTCAAGTGCAAAGTCATATCATATTAATCACATTGAAATGTCTTCTCACTCTATAATTTACATAGATTCTTTCTGCAATGAAAAATTTTCTGACCATTGTATCAAATACGATGATAGTGTTGATTCAACATGGGAGTGACTGTCCTAATAGTGGTATAAAGTGTGTGCTAGTAGAAAAGTGAGTC